ATAGATAGATAGATAGATAGATAGATAGATAGATAGATAGATAGATAGATAGATAGATAGATAGATAGATAGATAGATAGATAGATAGATAGATAGATAGATAGATAGATAGATAGATAACAAAAACTACCTGATACGGAGACTGTTTCTAAGTTCTAACCATTGATTCTATTAACTTTTTTTAAACTCTCATTAGAAAGTTGGCTTCATAATTACTGCATTTTCCACTTCATTGAGTTTCTGTTTGCTGATGTCTCATAAGAGGAGAGGCTTCTGTCTCCCCAATCCATTTGGACCCATAGATGAGGGCTCCCCATAGGAGCTAACTGTCTTCTGTTTGCTTCTTCTGCTAGATTTTGGGTTTCATCCTAACGGACATCCATGGTGAGCTGAAGAGGTGTTCTAGATCATCTGCTGATGAACCTCCAAGACAGGTAGGGAGGTTTGCCACTTGGTTTACTGCATGTATCCTTAGCTGAACTACCCTTAATCACGTAGGCAAGGTCATTTTAAGTCAGTCACTGCGATATTGTTACAATCGCTCACAAACTTTGAGAAAAACGCTATGCTCTGAAAAAGAAGCTTGTTATTTTCCATCAGATATGGAACAACACTCTTAATAATTTAATTAATCAATTAATTAATTCATTCATCCATTTGTTTCTTTAATATACCACCCCATTAGTGCCAAAGCACTATTCTGGGCAGTTTACAAACACTTAAAATAGAACGACAACAAAACACAAAACACTAAAATGTCATGATATGTCATTAAATGTCATAATTTTGTAATATAATGGAATTTGCTGACATAAGAGTCATTGTTGCAGTCCATCATGTAAGTGGCTGTCTCTAAACCTGGTCAATAGTTCATCATCGGTTTAAAAAGGCACTCATGTTCTCTAACAACGGATGAAGTTTCAGGAGAACCAGTGAAGTGGTAGCTTCATCATGGCATTGGAATTGTTGTTCTGTTGAATTTGGAGAACCGGAGGCACTTGTGTAGCAGACACTGATGTCCTTTTGTTTTTTTTCCGGAGATGGAAACGTAGTTCATTTGCCTTGGGAGAGGTACTAGATGAACAGAAAAGGTCATTTGAGCATCCTAGGAAAAAGCAAACAAATAACTTGTATTGTCTTTGGTTGTTGTGGGTTTCCCAGGCCATGTTCGTAAGGTTTTTCTTCCTAACATTTTCCAGTCCCTGTGGCCAGCATCTTCAGAGGACAGGAGTCGGAACTCTTTCTGTGCTCTGGTGCAGATTGTGGGATACTTTGCTCTGCACCAGAGCACAGACCTTGAGGACATGGCCAAACAGCCCAAAAAACCTACAACAACCATTGGATCCCGGCCGTGAAAACCTTTGAGAATACATTGCATTGTCTTTGCAACTTTGTCTTTGTTTGCAACTGACTATACAATCACTACTGGGTCGGTGGGGCTCGCCAGCCTTGGAAGGCAGCCATTGTCTTTGCAACTTTGTCTTTGCAACTGACTATACAATCACTACCGGGTAGGTGGGGCTCGCCAGCCTTGGTAGGCAGCCCATCTAGGAGAAGGAAAACTCCAATTTCAAACCTCCAACGCCTTGTGGCTCTATCCAGAGTTAACTTAGAGGCAAAATCCAGAGCCGGAGTCCCGGAGGCAGTTTGTGTCGTTCTGGCAACTCCTGTGACGTCGCTGGAACCAGTTGTATTGGCTCTTGCCTTTCCATTGGAGCTTTTCAGCGATGTGGAGAGGAGGGATTTGCTGGTTGGGTAACAGCCTATCCTCCATATTATTCTACCTAGGCTTTGTGCTCTGGAGAGGACACACATACAGAGTACATTGCCATGGTCTTGAAAGACCATGGCAAGGATGCCTAAGAAGAATATTTCGAGACCATGGCAAGGATGCCTAAGAAGAATACAATCACTAGCCGGGGAGAACTCTTTTAGTTCGTTCCTCCCCCCCCACCCACTTACCTCAAAGTATGCAACGTATGCTGACAGTGTACCATCAGAGAAATCATGTACACACGCCTGACCTCTGTGCATGCCAGCTCTCGACTCATCTGCCCCCCAGACACCAGCCCTGTTGCTTCTCTGGGCTACGAGGCACCTGGCAGGCCTGAGCGCTTGGAAATGCTGTAGAGAGCTGTCAGGATGTGACTTGTGGCACAAAGCCCCCGGGGTATGATTATTTATTCATGGCAAGTCGAGCAAAAGGCCTAGGTGGATGATGGTGGAGGCTGGGGGGGGGCGGGAATGGCTGCCTTCAGAGGCAAACCACACGCCTTGCGATGGTATAAAAATAAACGGGAAAGAGGAGCAGGTCGGCGTCTTTATGAAACAGCACACTCTATTGTTTTACTCCAGGCCCGTGTTCGGAGCACACTCTTTTTTTTACAAAAAAAGAAGAAGAAATTGTTCTTCGACACAAGCTGAAAATGGTGTGTGTGTGGAATAACTTTATTGGTCCCGAATAGCTCTGCGGTTTAGGTCTCCGGCTGTGGAGCGAGAGGTTGGGAGTTCCATTCCCTACTCAGATCAGCAGTTCTAAGATGATGAGGATGATGAGGAAGATTTAACAAAAAAAAACCCGAACCTTTTGGATCCTCCAGGACTCTTCCTCAGGCTGGGCATTAGACAGTTGGAAAAAGTGCAGAAGAAATAAAACACCCCCCCCCAAAAAAAAATTGCTGGAGAACTCAGCAGTTTAGGTCTCTGACTGTGGAGCCAGAAGTTGGGAGTTCGATTCCCCGCCGGGCCTCCTCAACAGGGGATGGACTGGATGATCTACAGGGTCCCTTCCAGCTCTGCAGGTCGTCTAACATAATTATTGTTGACCTGCTGGATAGCTCAGGGGTTTAGGTCTTCAGCCGCAGAGCCAGAGGTTGGGGGTTCGATTCCCTACTCTGCGTCCTTGTCAGGGGCTGGACTCCGTGATCCACATTGGTTCCTTCTAGCTCTGCAGTTCTAAGATGATGAGGACGACAACGTTTATCATGTGCAAATGTGGCGGCCAATCTCTCTTGTTAAAGGTAAAAGGTAAAGGTTCCCCTTGACCATTTTTGTCCAGTCGTGTTTGAGTCTAGGGGGCGGTGCTCATCCCCGTCTCCAAGCCGTAGAGCCAGCGTTTTTGTCCGAAGACAATCTTCCATGGTCACGTGGCCAGTGCGACTTAGACATGGAACGCCGTTACCTTCCCACCGAGGTGGTCCCTATTTATCTACTTGCATTTGCATGCTTTCGAACCGCTAGGTTGGCGGGAGCTGGGACAGGCGACGGCAGCTCATTCTGTCACGTGGATTCGATCTTACGACTGCAGGTCTTCTGACCCTGCAGCACAGGCTTCTACGGTTTAGCCTGAAGCGCCACCACGGCCCTCCTCTTGTTAAAAGCAGCGTCCAAATTTTTTGGGGGGTCCTGCAGCCTCGTCGGGTGTCAGTAAAGGATGTCAGCTTTCAGGCATCACCGCAGGTGAAGTCGATGTCATGGTCTTCCCCGGTCTGAGCAGACGACAAGCCACCCGTCGTCCTGCACTCCCCCACCCTGCTCACCGCCTTATATCCCAGCACGTGGCTCCCACTTTGCTGGGAACGGAGAAGCGCAGGAAAGTGGCAGACGTGATATCAGACCAGTTTGCAAGGGGAGTCTGGCAGCGTTCTGTTATTGGCAGACAACATCCAGAACTTTTGGAAGTCTGTTTTTAATGGCATTTCTATCCTGCCTCTCTTCTGCAAGGCGGGTGCGTGCGCTTGTCTCCCTTCCCAATTCCTTTTCCACCTTCGATGCTAACCGTAAGGCGGAAAGAATGATTTCACTTGAATAAAAGACCGTCCATTTTAATCAATGCCACTTTCCTTTATGTTTAATCACAAACCGATGCTTCACATTTAGATAAATTGGTGCTCCTCTCACCCAGATAATTTTTCCTCATTGCATAACTAGGCACTTGGTAAATATTGAAATCATTGTGGCAGATTATACTCTAATTGAGTGTCAATATATATTCTTAAACATGCCCTTTCGTGTATATTATGCAATCTCAAAATAATATATCACTTCTGGTTGGAAATATTTCCACCTTTTTTACATTTATTACTCCATGCTAATGACGAAAACAAGGAAATTTGTGGGACAAACAATATATTTCTGATATGCTTGCTATGCCTCAGGAGGTGAAATTATACAGCTATTGCTGTCTGTGAATTGCTGGATTGCTGGGGGTTTAGGCATCTGGCTGTGGAGCCAGAGGTTGGGAGTTCAATTCCCCTACTGAGTCTCCTTGACCGGGGATGGACTTGATGATCTACAGGGTCCCTTTCAACTCTGTTGTTCTGAGATTATTATAGATTATTACTACAGTGGTGCCCCGCATAGCGAGGTTAATCCGTTCCGGATTAACCTTCGCTATGCGAAAACATCGCTGTATGGGGCAGGAAAAGCCTATTGGAACGCATTAAACTTAGTTTAATGCGTTCCAATAGGCACCAAAACTTACCCCTCCAGCGATGTTTTCGCGGTCCGGCGGCCATTTTGGAGTGAGTGCGGCGATTGGGGCAGCTCCGTATAGCGATCCCCAAAAAGGGATCGCTATACGGATTCTTCGTTATACGGTGCGCTCGTTAAGCAAGGCACCACTGTATATATTTTTTATAACATCTATGTATGAATACCAATGTATATAACTTGCTGCTTCTAACTGATATGTGAGTCATGACCTTGTTCATATTCCCATGAAAATGGAGACGGGGCAAATGGTTTTCTTCTCAAGGCTTTGTTGTTGTTGTTTAGTCATTTAGTCGTGTCCGACTCTTCGTGATCCCATGGGACCAGAGCACGCCAGGCCCTCCTGTCTTCCACTGTCTCCCGGAGTTTAATTGCTAATCGGAGCCACCAGGGGACCCAAGGCTGGGAACCATTGAGCCAAATGGACCAATGTTCTGGCTCAGCCTAATTCAGCTTCTGTGATTCAGTCTCAGTAAATGGTATTAATTTATTTCAGTGCTACCTCGTTGTGTACCGAAATGAGTGTGGGAAGTGCCATCTGGATGTACCATCTTTCCTCCTCCTTTTTTTTTTTTCTGGCCAACTCTGCCCGTCATTTCTCCCTTCCTTTTGGATGGCACCGGTGGAATACCTGTCGTGAGCTCTTTGGAAAAAATCCACCTTGTGTGGTTTGGAGTGCCAAGCTTTTCGTCCATATCTGCAGATGGTGGCAATGGCTAGGTTAAGGTTTTGGCAAAGAGACGAGAATTTTGAACTGTGGCCCTCTGAGGGGGGCGCATACTAGCATATGACTGCTTTGTATTTTTATAGGTTTGAGTGCCCATTTGCATGGATATTTTAAGTAACACCAGTCTGTTTCTTTTTGTTTTACAAAAGAAGGTGTGGAAGAAGAAGAGGAGGGAGAGAATTACAAAGATGCTCCCTGCAGATAGAAAAGTATAGCC